TTTCATTTCATTCAATTTTTTGAGTTTTAACATGTATGGTGCTTTTGTTATTAATTTGCTTTCTTTTGAGTTTGTTTTGTTTTTTATCTTTGATTTTCTAGGAGGTGTGTTTGAGTCGGGCGATATGTATTTTAATTCTTTAATTATTGCTATTAATTTTTCACCTAAAATTTACTTACTTAATACTATCCTAACTGATTTGATTATGTTTTATTATAGGGTTGAAGTTATAGTTTACAAAATCACGATTATTTCTTTAAAGTTTATGAATTAAAAGACATTTTGAAATTTTGTAAATCAAAATTAAATCATTCTTAGACTTTAGACTAAGAGAGGCCTTGAACTTAAAATTTTCATAAAAAATTTGAATAAAAAAAAAAACAACATTTAGCATGAAGCATGTGGATAAGTGAATGAAGTTGATGAGCCATTTTTGTACTATCCACAATTAAATGGAATTTAGTTATTTGTTCATTCACATATATCCAATTACAATACAATTTTGAATACCAAAAACTTAATGCTGCTTTCTTAAGTAAGAATAATGTGTTTTTTTTTCCTTTTTGCTTTATAAAAAAAAAAGTAAGAATGTGTTTTTACTAAAATAATGAAATCAACTTTTCACTTTGTAACTATGCTTGTTATTTTGTTTTTAATTCAAATAGCGTCAATAAAAACTTGTATGTAAATTTAGAGCTAGTGTTAGTAATTTTAAGTACTTGGTTATGTTTTTCTTCTTCCATTTTTTTTTTCTATTTTCTTGAAGAAAAATCGCAGACATTCAGCGGAATGATATTTTGCTGTCAGAATATCTTTAATTGCCAATGAAAAATCTATTGAAAGACAAGTACAATAAATGTAGTGATAGAGGCATGGTTCCTTTGTACTCCCTTTATATAAACGGTATAATTCCACCTTCTAAAAGGTACGTAATCCCTTGCATCCTACATAAGCTTGTTTCAACATGAGTTTGGACTAACTTCTAACTTAAGTTTCAAAGTCTACGTACACTGGTGTTATGTTCTGTTTTCGGGTAGATCATTAGTAAGAGCCCAACTTTAAATCACACGCTGACATACTAAAATCGTGCATCAGCTATGCATAAATTAAACCTTTGAAGAATTATATTTTAATTTTAAATCTCAACAAGCATTGTGCCTTTCTCATAAATAACATTAAACTTAGGGAAAAAGTATTATTCTATAATTTTATATCTTCCTCTCAGAAAAAGAAAAAAGAAAAGACACAACAATAGGAGTTGTTCCACATTTCTCCAAGGAGCATTAATAAAGAATGAAAATTAAGATTAGGAAAAACAATAACAAAATACTTTATTAAATGACACATTTAACAAAATAATAGTCTTCTTTTAGGGGCGAAGAAAAAAGGCATTAATTGTTTTTCTTCTTTAGTTGGAAGTCCAAAAATACAAAATCTGGAGACTTTTTGAGCAACTTTTTATTATATTTTTTGGGTCAGTAATTCAAAATGAAAATAAATAACATTACTGGAAGGTCCTTACAGTAAAAATTTAAGAAATAAAATTTTACTATCAAACCCCACCTTATGAATTTGTGAATTTGTTGACAAGAGTAAAATGCAAAAACCCATTTTTGATTTTCAAGGAACAATATATTTTGATATATAGCATTTCAGATTTTTTATAATTATAAGTTATAAAAAAAATCGTACACGTGTTAATTGAAAAGAAAAAATCGTTTATCATTTTCGTTTATTCTTCGATTTGACTTTTTTTATAGCTCCCTCCTATCTCTATCACTCTTCTTAAAAACTAAACCATGAATTCAATTTTGTTTGGCTATCATTAAAAGTATTGAAAGCAAAACAAAAATATAGTCAAAAAATCAAAACAAATTCCAATTTAGAAATTTCTAGAAATCCTTTTTTTTCTCCCTCTCTTTGGGCAGAGTGGATGAAAAATTAAAATATAATAAACAATCTTAATTTATTAAAATATCCAGTTTTTGAGAGAAAATAATTAAAATTTTTTAAAAGTCAAGTTAAAAGGGTAATATAAGTGTGGGAAGCTCATGGGCATTTGTGTTGAATATTCAAGAATTAAAACGGTGGGATAATAAATTTTTTATTTATTTATTCACCGATAGCTCTGGTCTGAAGAGGTAGCGTGCCAATTAGAGATTTCCACGTGTTTAATTTTGACCGGTCCACGTAGCTACCGGGGAAATGAAGAGACCGACAAGTTAGCGTATTGATCCGATAAATTTCAGCCAGTAAAACAGTGCCACGTAGTGAGAAATGTCAGCGGAATTGGAAAAGTCAAAGATTGGGCTGGCTTACGTCAGAATACTAAAAATATGAAAAAGGAAAAAATAAAAAAAGGCCATGGGAACCCGTGCTTTTGACTCGACCGGCTTCAATAATGCTGTCGCCGTGGACTTTTTATTCTGTCCATTGGTGTTATTGATGATGTGGCGTGATTCTATTGGAYTGTTAATCAGGTCGCCGTGGTAGTTGGATTTGAGAAATTACTAGAACTAGCTCGGTACTGTGACTTTTTTTTAAGTATAACAAAGTAGGGTGGTTAAATTCGAACTCACGACTTTTTAATATAAACTAAGTATTAATAATCGCTGAATTAAGTTTATATTGGCACACGATATTGTGATTTATTTCTTCATGTACAGGGTAACTATTTCTCAAAATTTCTTTCGTAGAAAATTTATAAAATTCATTATTCAAAAAAAAAAAAATCGATACACATATCTATTGGGGAGGTAAAGAGGATAAAATGAACTTAAATGTTCATGGTTAATCATTCTTAACGAAATGAGCTGTACTAGATTTTATAATTAGAATAATTTATTTTTGAGCTCTATGAATTTTTAGGATTTTTGGTCTTTTTTTTTTTGATATTTGAGGAGGTTGTTGACCAATAAGCAATTTTGAAAAAGAGTAAACTTATACAATTCAACCTTGATTCTACCACTAAAATGGACTCTTTTGTTTTATTTTATTTTATAGTTTCTTGATATTAGATTAACTTTTATTGTAACAAATCTAAGTTACATTACACATTTCTCTAAATAGCTTCAAATTATGGAAAAATGTAAATCTGTGCTTTTTTGTTTTATTGGAGTATTTATTTCATATGAAATAGGAGTTTGATATTACGTAATATTGTATATTTTATGAGAAGTTTTTAAATACAAACAATCGAGGGCTTGATATTATTGAAAAAGAAAATTAGGGGCAACTTACATATTTAGTAAAATATGGATTCCTTTTCGTTCTAATACTTGGAAAATAATTTGTCAAATGCATTTTATTTCCTTTTCCACTTATATATGCTTCCATTTTCTTAGCATCAAACTTTGGTTATGAATATATTTTTGTATAATCTATGATCTTCGGAAGTTTTTTCAATTTAGTTCCTATTATTTAAAAAAGAATTCAATTTAGTATCTTATGTTTTCACATTTTTTAATTTAGTCTTATTAATTAATGATAAACCTGGACTAATATAAATTTAAAGGAGAAAAAACATTATAAAAAAAACTTGAAAATTATACTAATTTTTTAAAAATCTAGAGGAAGGAGTAGAAAATTTCTTCCCTCAAATGACCTTTGTTGTCCTCTATTTTTTCGTCAATTCATTAAGTATTATGTCATATAAGTCTATTATCCATTAATTTTAACATTTTTTTACACCAGACATAAGAGATTAAATTGTATATTTAGACAACTATATATATATATATCACCTATATAGTTACTTCACGATGGAGAGTTTCATCTAGTTAATTAAAACAAACTATTTTTATTTTGGAACAATAATATGTGGAGATGAGAATTCGAACACAGATCTTTTTAATTAAAATATCTTAATCAATTGAGTTATGTTTATGTGACCATTAAAATAAACTATTGACATTATAATATTCAAAATAAAAATTTGGGACGAAATTTTAAAATAGATAAGAAGCATATGTAAATTAGCTTAACAACACGGTTCCAGAAAAGCTGATTATAATTTATAAAGTAATTAAAAAGAACGTTTTTTTTTTTTTGACCGACTAACTAAAGTAATTAAACAGTTGAAGTTTAGACCTTACGGCTGCCAACCGCCGACGCATTAATAAAAGAAGAAGAAAAAAGTTTTAAAAAATGTGATTTATTATTATGATTATAATTATAATTAAGACTGTGAAAGTTTACCAAAACCAGTGGCTGATTATAATAAAAGTCAAAACCAAAACGACGTCTATTCATACCAATACAAACCAGACTGCTCCATTTCTGTTCAAACTTCCCAATCTTCAACATTTCAAATCAACTCTTCTTAATCTTAGCAATTTTTAAATATCAAATCTTTTCTTTTTATACACATTTTTAATTTTCAATTTCATTGAACCAAATCATAAGCTTTAATAGTACAAATGTTCATTTTTGTTTGAAAATTTAGAAGTGGAGACTCGAACTTGTGATATTTTGATTGGAGGTAGTGTATTAACCAGTTGAGCTATATTTGAATTGGCCGAAAATTTTGTGGCTGGACAAGAGCTTGTTGGTTAGTTTATGATTTTTTAGTTCTCGTGTATAAATTTGATCAAAGCCATATTTAGAAACAATACTTAAGTGCTTATCGATTAATATCTTTTTCTTTTGCCGACCACCAATAAAAATGTGAATTACCTAAGTATTTTTCCAAACTAAATCAAACCAAAGCCCACTATTTTGTGACCCATACCACTCATGGTTTTTGTGACGCTCGAGTAGAAAGAGTACATGAATGGACCAATACCAATACCACATCTGAATGAGTATGACGAAAAGACTTAAAATAAATGATAGTTACTACTTATACTAATAGATACATATTCCTCATCGATAACTCAATCGTAAGAATTTCAAAGTTAAGCGTGTTTGACTTGGAGTAACCTTTGCTTATTTGTCAATTTAAATACATTTTGTTGATATTTCCATCGACATAGACATTTAAAACGGAAATAATGTTTTTCTCTTCTTAAAGGCATTTTGAGGTTGGAGAAAAACCTTTAATTTATGCAAAGTGGGCATAAAGAAGGGGGAGAGAGAGAGAGAGAGAGAGAGAGAGAGAGAGAGAGATTCAGCTTCATTTCCAATCACTTTCAGTCTGCACCATTTGAAGCTGACCGACCACGGAGCTTCAAAACTGTGGCTGCTATACAATTTACCTTCGTGTTCATATTCTTCTTTTTTAACAGACATAACGACAGAAACATGGGACCTTTCAAAATTTTTAATTAAGTCGACTTCACGTCAGGGACTGAAATGAAAAAATGAATGGATTCCAGGGATTTGCCCAAGTTGACGGCTTTCGAAAAGTTCATATTGGTTTGGCCCAGTTTGATTCTTCCAGATTGCATCTGCTAAGTGCTAAGGGGGGAGAAGAAGATTTTTAATAATTTTTGCCTCAGAAGGCTACAAAAAGACCATTCACAAACTAATAAAAATGTCGGATTACAATGCAAATGACTCGAAACACGACAGTCGGGTTGGTTGTTACGTCGTTTCAAATCATTAGAGTTCGTTATTTGGACGAAACCGAATTGTTTTGTAATCTATATTTGTTGGTATGTGAAAATGATCATCTGTTTCACTGCATTTTGTCCAAAAAGATGAGAGTAGAAATGAGTTAGACTTCTAGAATTGTGTTTAATGGGTTGTTGACCTTTAAACAATGTCTATGAACTTCCCATTTTGTGCCGAGGGACATATTATATAAAAGTTTAGGGACCTATGAGATACAAGCTACAAAAGTTGAAGGACTAAATTTGTAATTTAACGTAACGTACGACATTTGCTACCCATCTCATATAGCCCTCATCAGAGAGGAAACAGAAAAATGGGAAACCGCGTATTTGAACATAAGAGAGTGATTTTTCTACATTTTCTAAACTCAAAAAGTTTGTACAAAAGATGACTTAAGAGATAAGAGTTGTCTATGAAAAAGTAAAAAAGCAGAATGAATTTTCATAAAAGAACATGGGGTATTAGAACCAAAAGTCTTAATCTTTGTCTTGTTATTTAATATTTACCTTGGATACTTAGCTGGAAGACACTTTCCTCAGCAGATAACAAGCTTTAGCAATGAATCTGATCTTTGTGTTCTCACTTTTGAACGCTGCAAAAAAGAGACAAACACATTCATCTGGCTGTGCCAAGAAAAGATGGGAATCAAGAAATTTGAACAAACTTTTATCAGCTATTGTAAGTTTTTCAGACTGCAAAGAGCTTTAAAGATAATGGTGGCAAAACAATACAAGTTTTCCAGCTCAAGCTTCTCAACAGTACTGGGAACTGATTTGTGTTAACCTTCTTCCACTCATTCAACGACACGTGTAAGAGCAACTTTGCATCTTACAATGATCTGATCTTCCACTCATTCAATGACACGGGTCATATTTGATTTCTCTTCTGAAGTTGGTTTTTAGATCCCGGTTGGGATTGTAGAAAGAATCTCATAAATTCAGTTGATACCTTGATACCAGTAAAACAAGAAACATGAGAATTTGGATGAACAGGCTCTATGAATGAAAGTAACAAGCAACCAAAATAATATCTCCAAAGCATACAGTTTTTAAAGTAAACATGATTAGACGTGACAGGAATCAAACAAAACATAAAATTGTGAAGTTGCAAATCAGTCTAGACTTCTATAGAGATAAACTAGTATAGAAGTGCCAAGTCCTCGTACTATTCATGGTATTTGGGCTTGCAGCCTTCCATTGCACTTGCACATGATGGCCATCATAGGACAGTGTTCGAGTTATGCTCTATCAGCTCTCAGCTTAAGTTTTAAGACAACCATCTCTGTGACAGAGTAATTGTAACCGAAAATCAAACATATTGACATAAGAGAATCCTATGATATTCCGACTTACAGAACAAAATAGTATGTCTAACGTTTGTACTTCGTAGGTAGGCTTCTCTAACTAGTATGCATTTTCACCACCCTTCCCTTTGACATCTACTTTACCTTCATTATCTAAGATTGAAGAATGATGGTTAAAACTAGAATTGGCATAACATTGTAGCATTTACTTAGTATATTTTGTCCTCCTACCATCCTTATACCTTGCTAGATGCTATTCTTAGCCAGAAGAAAAAAACAGGCACCTACAAGTACTGCAGAAACCGAGCACCAAAAGTTGACGAGGGCGGTACTCAAGACACTAGTTGAGCGCAGACACGAGAACAATGGAGGGAATTCATAATCTGAAACACTTGAAATCTACTTTTCCACATTTAACACTTTACAGTAGACAACACCCAAGACAAGAGGTAGCGCAACATGAATAATAAGTAAATGTACTGTTTAACTGCAAATATATGTACACAACAGGGTAATTAGGCTACAAATTTTCATCAAATGCAGTGGTCAGTTACATTTCAGTAACAATGGACACATGTTTGTTTGACCAACAATTACTTTAACATGTTTCTTTGGATCGCCTTATGGGGCCTATGAAGGGAATTCATATTCTGCTTCATGGCTGACTAGATTATCAGCAAATTTACCAGCTTTCCTTCTCATAATAATCATGGGGATGTGGCCATCCTGCACTGGAATTGCTTTCTTGAGATCAAGATGCCTCAGCTAGTATTAGAAATGTCTTTGCTAAAAAATTATTGCCCCACTTGCCATGAAGAGTCAAAAGACAACTCTGTGATTCCAAGAAGTTATATGCTTTTATACGGCGAATACTTTCTTTTATTCTCAGTTCTTCCAACCAAACTTCTCCCATTATGAATCTATCATTCTCACCTATTTTGAACAACTGACAAATAGAAGGAGAATGAAGCAATCCATGATTTAGAAAATATCCTTCACAAGAAATTGAAATCTTTGAAGGATAATCAACTCCTCAGAAGCAATTTATCAGCTTATGAGGACTTTGCTTGAGCATCCCTTTCTCCAGGTGAATACGTTTTTGCAAATGTATGTCGTCTTATAATGTAAAGGATGACTTATGTTTCTAAATGGAAATGTAGTGAGCATTTATGTCATAACAAATGGAAATAACCCACTAAAAATAATAGGAATCCCTCCATTCCATCCAGAAACTACAGCAAATTGCAGCTCCCAGACTTCAAAACTCAAAACAGAGTGAATGAAAGACAACCCAACCCATCATTTCAAACATACAACAACTCCCAACAAGAACCTCCTCCTTGATCAAATAGTAAGGGAAACAAACACAAAGCTGAGAAAGAAAGGACATGACAGCAGCATTCAATCAACTGCAGCAGAAAAAGCAAAGTGACCCATTGAAGCATCGAAGTGTAAGATCAATCGGCGTCCTTCAAATAACACAGAGATGAGAGCAATGGCGTTGAACAAAAATGGGGTAGAAGGGTTTAAGCTTATTTCCCCCAAAAAGAGAGACATTTCTAATTGCCAAGACCAGGGGACAGTTTCATAAAGCGTGGGATTGTGAATTCATTAAGAAGAAACCATCCATTGCAATTTTCAAAAGCTGTCATTTTCCCTTTTCTCTTTGGACATTGCCCATACAATCTTTTTCTGGTGTGGGCTAATGAAGATCACAATTTCAATTCGAAGTTGCCCAAGCCCATGTGCACCATGTTGGATTTTTCTCACTAATTAAACACGACCCACCACAAATTCAAGTCAGCAAATGTAGACGCACATTGGACCGACCACATAGTTTCTGTTTGTACATCATGTTTTTTTATTTGGCAATTCAAAATAGTATTCAAAGAAGCAGCAATGAAGATATGGGAGTCAAAGATCACATGGGAGTTTCAAGAGAATATACACCAAAATTCTATATTTTTCTTCTGGGACAATCTTGGTTCATGGAATTCCAAGAAGTAACATGCCATTTCTCTTCCTACAATATACAATATAGGCTAATCTATATATTTATTTGGATTGGACATTATAAATATTGTCATTGATTATTGAAGAATAAAGTTCTCATTATTATATGTATTCCTATCTCCTAGTTCAAAAGTAAGTTTGGAGAAGAACTAAATAAATTCTGTCATGAAAGTTTTCGAACTTAAATCCAACGTTCAAATACATAACCACACAACTGTATTTCAATCTTAATGCACATTTAACACCTATAATTGTCTTAAGTTTGAATCCACGATCCAAGGGTTACTTAGCCTCCAAAAAAAAATCTAACAATTGAATGATAGCGGTTATGCAAAAATTTCTAATTGAGATTTTGTATTATTGAATTATGTACCGACAAAATATTTGAAGTGCTAACTTGTTTTGTAGGATCCACCTCTATCGAGTGTTCTTGAAGATTTATTGTTTTGATAGAATTTTTTTTTAGTTAAAACAGTATGTATCCATGAGTTTGACATCGACATGAAAGATAAATCGATATTTCCATAATATTACAAAAAAGAGATTGATAAAATATAAAAAATATCAACAAAATCTCACTAACATAGATATAATATTAATATTAATTATTTTTAATTTATCTTAGAAAAGATCAAATTCTCAATGAAATGATGAAATTATTGTCTGTTAATTTAAATATTTTTTACTATTTTTTTTTATCTCTATAACCTTACAAAAAAAAATCTATCAACATTAATATTTCATGGATATCTTCAGTGAAATTGATATTCGATATCTGAACCTTTCTTTTGGAGCGAATCATCCAATAATAGTTTAAATTACTGTTTACAAATTAATGATTCATTGAGATCATAATTTAAAAGAAAAAAAAAAGAAAAAAGAAAAAAGAAGTTATTGAAACACCATTTTATAGAGTTTTAATCCTGTTTTCTTTTTCTTTCTTTTTTTATTTTTAAGTTTCAATTTTATAGTCCCATGCTCACATTTTGATTTTGGCAAGTCCCATCACCCTTTTTTTTCTTTATGGTCACCTTTTTTCCATAACATTTCATTTTGTGTGGGTCATCACCAATTTAAATTCGATATTCATTTCTACTAATTAATTCTCATTTTCATTTCGTCAAAAGGAAAAAAAAAATCTCATTTTCATTAAGTGCTAAAATTAAAAAATAAATGATTAAATAAGATATAATGAAATTAAATGAGAAGAAGTACCATACTTTTTCCAATAGTCATGGAATGGATCAGAAGGAGCAATAGTAGTGCGAATTAATTAATTAGCATAAATCTGAAATAATACACCCAAACCCAAACCCAAACAGAACGATTTATTTTTCTCTTTGATCTGTACATTAATTAATTGATAAAACGGTATAAAAAGCTTAATCATGACATACGCCCTAATTCCCAAAACTTTTTGAATCAAATTAAAAAGAATTACAAAAAAAAAAGGACTGTGAAAA